GTTTCCTTGTGTAGTAATTGAACCCTTCATTTTAGAAGATGTAATATATTCTAGACTTGATTTGCACTAAAACCCATGGACACAAATAGTAAGTCGACAAACAAATAATAACGGTTATAGCTGAGAGAGTCACTACTTGTGAAAATGGGCTATTTAAATTACAGATCCAGGCATATGTGTATTGTGGGCAACTAGGATGCTACCCTGAAAATTAGAACATGAATCAACATACTCCTCTCTGAATGCTGAACAGGAGTGACACTGCTAATCTACTTTGTGTTCCTGTGTTTCATAGAATCATGGTTGGAAGGGACCTTTAAAGGTCATGTAGTCCAGCCCCCCTGCAGGGAGCAGGGACAACTGCAACTAGATCAGGTTGCTCAGAGCCCCATCCAGCCTGATCTTTGAATGTTTCCAGGGATGGACCATCTACCACCTCTCTGGGCAACCTGTTCCAGTGTTTCACCACCTTCATTGTAAAAAAATTTCTTCCTTATATCTAGTCTAAATCTACCCTCTTTCAGTTTAAAACCATTGCCCCTTGTCCTGTGGCAACAGGCTCTGCTGAGAAGTTTGTCCTTGTCTTTCTTATAGGCCCCCTTTAAGTACTGGAAGGCTGCTAGAAGGTCTTCCTGGAGCCTTCTCTTCTCCTGAAGCTGAACAACCTCAACTCTCTCAGCCTGTCTTCATACAAGAGGTATTCCACCTCTCTGAATATCGAAAGGGGATAGTGATGGTGTTCTTTGGATTCCTTTGTGGAAGAGCTATCCTTTCCATATCCTGGAGGTAAAGTTAGTGACATTGGCAAATTTCATAGTTGCTCTCTGTCTGTATTGTTTGCTTCTGAACTGAACTGAACTGTGGTCACTGAGAATCAGCGCCAAATGGTTAGATAGAGAATTTTTTTTTAGTAGCAGCGCATTTAGGTTTATAACTGTACCAGAAATATTTGTGTCACAAACAAAAATTTCCCTTTACGGAAACAAGTGTAGAGAGGCCAGCAGTTTATCGCAGTGCATGACAGGAGTCGGTGGTTTGGTAGGGGCTGCAAGCACCAGGTACTCCTGCTTTGCTCTGAAGTGATGCCCCTTGTCTGTGCCCTGAGGTGCACCTTTTTTCCACCTGGAAATTCTATCCAGGTTCTAATTGAAAAACTGAAATGTCAGCCTTAAAATGAGAAGTAGCAACCACGTTTTAAATGGTTTTTAAGTACTTACAGCCTCAAATAGCTGCCTGCTGAGATTTCCAAGCATATTTTTGTGCTTAAGCCCTATTACTTTTAACCACTTCAGATTTTTTTTTAAGTCTGTATTTTTGGGAACCTTTTCAAGTTAAGTAAGGGTAAATCTGAAGGAACAGTGGAGTGTGAAATGGGACAAAATTCTAATTTAAAAGTTTCTTCTTAAACATTTTTTTTGAGATTTGTCTATATACCTGCACTTGCCATTTCAATTGATATAATGTGAAATAAGCCTGTATAGTGCAAAATACTCTGAGAATGTTTCGTTCATTTTTGCTGCAAGCGCTACATAGGGAAAAAAACACAAACCCACACCTAAGGAAAAAAAAGTAAAGCCTTGAAAAATTATATTTACAATATGGGTTTCGAAGCCTTGCAGACAGCATCTCATGAAAGCTGTCCGAATACTTGCATCAAGTATTTCAGTAGTTTTTCAGTAAGAATTTAATGTGAATTTACACTTTAAGTCCACACGTCTCTGAATTCCATGTTTAGAGACAAAGCTTGAATTTAAATGAATCTTAAAGGAGCTTCTGAGGTTTCTCCTGACAAGTAGTTCTCTAGTGTAAAGGGATATTGTATTCTGTTCCTTCCTGCCTCCTAAACAACAGTGCAGAGGACACTGCCAGGCTGATATGGCATTTGGGCTTTGTCTGCTGCCCCCATCATGTTTACTAATAGAGATTTGTATTCATAATTTAGCTGATAATTCATTTGCCAGTACATAGATGAATACTTCTAGCTCATTTGGCAGTATGTGTGTTGGCACAGCAGTCATCGTGGAAGCAAAATGTATGTGTTGTATTTGAATCTTGTGGCAGATGTGTAATATGAAGGAGCAAGCACTTTGGAATGGGCACTTTCCTGTCTCTGCCTGCATTTTAAGTGTTCCCTTGTTATGATCTGTGATTGTGTCTGTACTGATGTGTATTTGCTTTTTCAGAATGAAAATAGCACCGTTCTGTTTTCCTTTTTTTGTTCTTGTGATGTTGCAGCATGGTAAATACTGTGGAAACAGAACTTTATTATAAACTTTTTCTCAACTGCTATATCGATTCGGAAAACAATTTGTAACCTATCTGTCTCCATTTAGCATCTGAAAAGCGGGGGTTTGAAACCAGGGCTTTAGAATGTGCGATTGAACTCAATTTCTGTGCAGACTCAAGTATGTTTAGATTATTCTATGTGGGTAAGTATATAGGGAACAAAAAAAAGGTAAAGATAAGAGGAAATAAATACTTGCTCCTTTTTTTTTTTTTTTGGTGGAAATTGAAGCAAGATAACATGATCTGCAAGGTGGACCCAAGTCTTTCATGTGCCTGTATGTTAAATACTAAGAGCTTGCCAAGATGTGTGTATAGTTTGCCCTCAAAACAGGGTCTAACTACTCTTTTTTTTTTTGTAAATTAATTGGCTGAATAAAACTTCTGCTTCTGAAGAAGCAGCAGTTACTCTTTGTTTCTTGTTTACAGGATAACTTTTTCCTGAGAAATTTCAACTAGCCTCCTTCCTTTCTGCATTTATGTCAATGTTAAAGCTATAGCATCATACATTTATGAGATTGAGATGCTGTGTCTCAGTTTTAGCTAGTCTTCTCCATTTGTGCAGGCAGAGGAGAATGAATACACGAGGAAGTCTGAGGACAGAAGGGCCTGGAAGGGAGGAGGAGCAGCAGTAACTTCACTGCTTGTTTCCCTTTACTTTACACAAATGTGGCCATGCAAACACTACACATTAAACAAACACGCTAAAAATTGCTAAAATAAACCTTGATAATGGGAATATTGAGCTCTCTTTGCATGTTAAATTCTGGCTGTGGTTAATTAAATAAAAATGCCGCTCCAACAATGTTGTCTTGGGTGCCTTATTATTAAATGAAAAGAAAACATAGGAGGAAATAAAACTGTCTTGCTGCCTTGGTTGCCAGAGCATTTGTTTCCCCTTGTCCATATGTGTGTTGTGAGAGCACGAAGCATAACAAATAGTGTTTGCATTTAGTTCTGAATACAGTGAGGTCCACAATCACTCTTATCTCTGTGAAAGCAAGCTCCGAAGCCTGTCTGGCTGCCCAAAGAGTTTGCATTTCTGCACGTGTGATGGATGAGTTCGTTGTTCTAATAGAGCATGGCTTTTGTTGGAAGTCGTGGTCACAGGAGGAGAGAGGCAATCCATCTTTAATGAGGGGCAGTTCTATGGATGCCTTGAATGCTAAAGCAGAGATGTAGCATGTCATTTTTTATTTGATGTAGAGGGCCAGTGCAGAGACAGTACCTTGTTTTACAATGTGGTGGGTTTTTTTTTTTATTACAAAGAAGGGTGGGAGCTGTGTCCTGTACAAGCTTTAACCATTTTAGATGTTTTGGCTTAGTTCCCAAGTGTAATGAGTCTGGAGGTTGCAAACGGATGTATTTCTATGGCCAGATCTCTGATCAGATAGGGAAATGAAACCTCTGGCCATGCATGGATGGTGTTAGACTTGCCTGTCTGAGCATCCTAGGGAATTGAGGTCTCATAGGCTGCATTTTAACTAGCAGACAGTGTCTGTAATCAAGGGGAACATTATGGCCTAGGGAAATTCCTCAGAGCAATTCCCATCAATACAGATAGTAGGTGTGTCTTTTAAGTACCTCTGAGGATCAGGAGCTTGTGTTGGGGCAGAATCTGAAGATGGATCTTCTCATCGACCAGGCAAATTCTGTGACTTGTGTTCCTTCCTTTTTATTTTCTAGACCGCTTAAAGGCATTTGAAGTTGGTTGTGATGAGGATAACTGAGCCCTTTCCATTCAGATCAAGAAGCAGCAAATTAAGAATAACAACTTTTCCTCACCGAACTGGTCATAGTTGAACTACTGTACCATGGATGTAGAACTAAATACATTACCAGTCTCCTTACACATCTGGTTTGCTTAACACTGGTTGTATTTAAGGTCTAAAAATTAAAATGTTTTCTCATGGTAGATTTATTTGATGTTTTAATTGATTAGCCTAAAGAGTGTGTCTGAATACTGCATATGTGACTGATGTCTGTTTGAGGAGAGATTAAAATGTTTTCTCTAAGCATGAAGAATGCTAATTATCTTTTTCCTCTTTTGCTTCTACTCTTAGAAGAGTGGGAGACAGATGTTACTTAGCAGAAGGAGAGATGAACATAACTTCTGGGCTTAGAAAGAAGTTAAAGTGTGGAACACATCTGCTGTGGTTCACTGATGTTTCTGTTCTTAGATTTGTTCTTTGAACAAACTTCTCTGAAAGGTGGCAGGAATTACCAGCATTGTCAGTACGGAATCAAAACTAGGAAAGTGGTGTGTGTTCACCAGAAAATTGAAGTTTTGACTCGTGCTTAGACTTTGAAAACCAGAGTATACCTATTCACTGAACACAACATTCAGGAGTAAAATATGTAGTGTGATCACAGTTTTTCATGGTCTTTCTTGTTTCATTTGTTCAAGGCTTTGTTTAGTTTGACAGTTTCAAACTAAACAGTTACAGATTTAAGTATCTAAGGAAATGCAAGTGCAGGGCTAGTTACAAATGAGCTTCCTTTTTAATTTGAAAAGTTTGGCTGTTGACCTCTCTCTTTCAGTTGAATTCTTGTACTGTGTTCATCATCCTGGTATCTGAACAAATAGCACATAAACTCATTTAGGGGAGGGGAGAGTTTGCATGTACCAATATTTAGTCTATTTGAAGTTAAGATTTCTTAAAAAAAAAAAATTCTTAAAAGCAAACATTTTTACTGTATTCTTATTTGTCTTGCAGGTTGATCCAGCTTTGAAAGAAAAATTAAAACAGAACACTGTGACGCTGGAATCTGAATATGAGGTAAAATAAATTTGTTGCTTGGGGCTCATAACCTTGGCTACCCTTGATTACCCTGGCCGTTGGTGGGTTGTATCTGTCCCTAACTAAAATTAGATCAGCCATCTGCCTTTGACTCACTGATGTCTAATAAAAAGGTTTTTATGTAAAGAAAGGTTTTTGAACATGCGGTGCTTCTTTTTGAACACAGCTTTACTTTGATGTCTTGGTGCCAAGTATAGTGGTACAAATAAATTCAAGTATTTCTGTGGTTAACCTAATCTATAAATGTAGAGCTGATGTTGGCCTTAGATGGAATGTGTATACATATGTGTCAACACTTCAACTGCCTGAGTTTTGATGATCTTTAGACCAAATAGCAGAACAATGTGCTTGACATGCTTTGTTATTTCTTGCTTCTGAAACTTACATGTATCTTTCAAACAACTGTTCTTCCTTTTTCACTATTTCAGAAAATTTTGTGGAGAAATATTTTTTTCCTCAAAAACGCATTTTATTCAAACATTACTGAGCTCCAAAATGATTGTTTTGGCCAGTTTAGTATCCAGAGTTTCATAAATCTTCAGGTCTGCAAAAAGCCGTGTCAGGAAAACTGGAAAAAGCCTCTCTGTATCCAGAAACAAAGGATAAAGCTATTGAAGATAATTTTTAATGTTTTAAAATTACTTGGATCAAATGTCCAGCTAACACTTTATCTATCTCTATGGGCTTTATGCTGAACACAAGTTTTCTTTTTCTTCCCATACCCCATTCCAGTCACAAGCCTTTGGAGAGCTTGGTTGCACCCATAGCTCTCATACTTAGGTGTCCAAATGGCAGTATGTGGTCTTACTAATAAAACCTTTCTATTATATTACTCTTTTGTGATTTGTCTGAAATGAAAATAAAACATACCTTCGTATTTTTCCGTGCCTGATTTCACAGAACATCTGCCTACCTGCCAGGTTTGTGATAGGGTTTTACTGTTATTGCAAACGGTTTTGGGCCATCCCCCTTCTACAAAGAGCTGTGTTTTATGTAGGGAATAAAAAGATTCGATCCCTGAGTACATATGGAAAGCTCCGATGGAAACTCAAAACATCCAAATCCATTAAATTCTGATTATTGTGTCTCTCACTTTCCATAGAATATATTGTAAGGCTGCTCTGATTTATTTATGTGGAAGAACCACAAGCAGTAAAAAGAACCACATCTCTCTGTTTAACTCACTACCTAACCTCAAAATCAACTGATCTGTATTCAGATATGCCTTGCTTTCTCTCCAGAAGATAAGTAAATAGTTGAAGAATAATATTTAAATGGCCATAATTGCATTAGCTTTATGGATAAATCAATGGTAATAAAATACCACTGGCATAACAACGTATTACAAACCTACTTGGGTAATGAGGCTCATTCCTGATGGACAGAAATGACAGAAGCAATCTTATTTTTTTCTTAATCTAAACTGCAGAGAGTTCCCAGGCTGAAATTCTTCCCAAGTAGTGTTTGTGTGTTACAGAGGGCAGACTGGTTCAACAAAACAAACGGATTTGCCTTTTCACATAATGAAAATAGACTCAGATTATTGTTCTAAATATAATCTCAATGTATACTTTACTGTGGACACCAACTTGAAAGCACTGGACACATTCGTCTCTTGCTTCAGTGAAACTTGTGTAACTACCAGCAGTCATGCCCATGCTTCACAGGCTCTGCACTGTGTGTGACAATTTTGGTCCCACTATATTCTAGTGAACTAAATCTAACCAGTTACTGAGTTACAGCTGACATTTAGGAGAGAAGTTTTCTGTGGACCCCATGTGTTCCAGGCTAGGGAGTTTTTGGTGGGGTTTTTTTCCCCTTTATTTTTTTTTTACAGCTCTTAGAACATCTTCTAATTCTGTACATAGGTCGCATTGGAGGATTACACTGGTGACTTTTACTAAATATGGTATAATAAGAGATCAAGGGCAGTAAAAAAAGACTTGCTGTTTTGATATGTAAAGCCTTATTTTACAATATTATTAGCGTTAGAGGGTGGCAAGACACTGGCACAGGTTGCCTAGAGAAGTTGTGGCTGCCCCATCCCTGGAAGTGTTCAAGGCCAAGTTGCATGAGGCTTTGAGCAACCTGACCCAGTGGAAGGTGTCCCTGTCCATGGCAGGAGGGTTGGAACTACATGATCTTTAAGGTCCCTTCCAACCAAAACCATTCTATGATTACATGATATATGCAGCTGTTACTGTGGATACCAAGCCAGCTCTTTTGAAGCATGGTTGCCTGATGCATACAAATGTCTATTGGCCCTCCCTGAGACTTTTAAAAATACCTTGTTGTCCTCACAGAAATGTACATTTTGAGTACATACAGAATTGTTTTAGAATGTCCTAATTTCTGCTATAAGCATGCACCTTTTTGGCTGTATTGCAAAAGATAAAGATGTTTCCTGTACTTCAAACATGTTGAAGACTGCATTTTGTCTCCGATGTGATGGCAGTGATGAAAAAAGTTATAATCAATTTACTGTGAGGAAATTAACATAAAGACTTTTTCTCACCTTCTGATTTACTAAATGATATCTTCTCAAACTATACAAAATTTACTTGATTTCATATAGGAGTATTTCTTGCCAGGATACTATTTTGAAGAAGAAAGAACTTGCTTGTGTAATTTGTATTTCTTATATCTCAGGTATGTTAATAATGCTATTTATCTTGTGCCTTGGGACATGCCAGAGGAGCAAGCTACCTTTGCATGTGTTCTCCATTGTTTATGTATTCTTCTCACACACTTATGTGTCCGCATATGGCCAATTAGTCCTTGCTGCTCCCCTTTGCCTAATAAATCATGGCTCTGTCCGCTAGTGACACTGGTACTAATGTGAACGTAGTTCTGCTGCTGAACTGGACCTTGTAGAACACACTGTAAAAAATGTCAAGTGTTTGACCTGTGACAAAAGCCTAGAATATTTTGTTTGAAAGCACAAAAATATTGTTTGAGAGAGAGGGATAAAAAAAATCCTGATTAATGTTGATGAGTGAAAAACATTTTTGTGGATGTTTAACAATCACAGTACATTCCTTTTCTTTGGTTTAAGTGCAATCTCAAAATAACATTCCTTATTCTAGCACTTGGTTTCTGTACTTCTGTGAAATTAATGGTCTGGTACACACTAAAAAATCTGGCCTCAGTCAATTACATCAGACCCTAAAATAAAGAATTGTTGTTTAGGATTTTTTTCTTTAAGGACAATTTATTAACAATTTACGATAGAAAAATCATTAAGTTTGAATCAAATATGTGATATCCAGTGAGAACCAATGGCAATTGAAGGCAGAGGAAAAAAATATCACGACAAATAAAAAGTGTGAAGAATTGCTATGGAAAAAGTAAATGGGAGGTTATAAAACAGAGAAGATTGATAAAAGACGCTAAGGACATCGGAGAGTTACCTGGTAAGTAAGCTGACAAGGCTATGGGTAAGAGGGTGGTGTTGCAGCAAACTAAGAGTAAAATAATGAGGATGTAAAATCATGAGTAACCCCTTTGGCAAAGTAGCAACATGCAAAAAATATCTTTGTATTTCTTTTAGAGAAAGAAGTCCTTTATATTCAAATCAGTAGAGACAAGGGATGTACTTCTAAAACTCTTAATAACCAAACAAGGTATTATTAATATCTATTAAACTCCGATGGTTTATGGCTGAGTGACAAGAAAATGCTTGGAAGACTTCAATTGCTGCTGAAAATCTCAGTCTGGGAATGATGGTTCTCTGAGAATCATCACTGGGCGGGAAGGTGATATTTTTAAGTGCTCTGTGAGATTTGTGACATATCTGGGCAATCTTGCATACTTTTTTTTGGTGATACAGAAGAAATTGTAAAATCATTACTGATGTCCAAGTGACATGAAAGTATTGAAACAGTAAAAGTATGACAAGGCAGGGACAGAGAGCTGTTCGTATTACTTCGTAATTTGGGCTCATTAAATGAGCAAACAACTTTTTTAAGTAGCCAAAGTTATTTGTTTAGTAAACTAGAAATGCAGGCCAGAGTGGGCTGCATTATGGAAAACAGCAACTCTGGAAAAGATTTAGGAGTCAGTGAATAAATAATTCAGATTGATCTTCTACTGCGATGCTGTGGCACAAAGAGCTAATTCAGTCTTTATGAATATAAACAGAAATGGTAGAAGGTAGGAAGAGGTGATTTTACTTCTGAGTGTGGCACTGATGAGGCTAGTACTGAAATACTGGATCTACTTCTGGCGTCCACATTGTGAATAGGGCTTTGAAAATGGGATAGGTTGCAGAACAGGCTGAATGTATTAAAGCAGGGCTTGAGAAAATGCCTTAAAAGAAACTTAGAGATTTAAATCTTTTTAAAAGTATCAAAAAGAACATTAGTTATATATAAATACCTTCATAAGAAGAAAGTGCTAGCTATTGAAGATTTTTTTCCTTCAACTGGTTGCAAGCTATTGGACTCAGCATGGGGTAAGTGAGGCAATATGCTGGTCTGCGAATAGTCAGTCTAGAGAATGCTGTTTTCCTGGCTTGAAGTACATGAATATTGAGCAATTTTTGTTCCTCACAATTTGATAAATCGCAAAAGGTTGACATTAGCTCTGGACAAAAGTTGTGTAACTGTGAGAATTACAGCAAAAATACTGTAATTGCAGTATGTTTAGTCAGGACAGTTCAAAAAGTAAAAGCAGGTGTATGGAGAGGTGACTTGCAAATATAACCTGTATATTTATTGTCTTAAGAGTAAAAGAAGAATTTGAATAGGCTCTTCTGAAAAAAGATTCAAGCCACTTAATGCTCATTTGACTTAACTTCAGGGACTGCAATGTCAACAGAATGGATGAAGTGTTTCTTAAGGAAAAGGCAGTATAGTAACATAGTAATTTATAGTATTATTAAATAGATGCATCGAAGTGTGTGGACATGAGGACTACTCTATAAGGAAGGTAATTCCTGAATGCCAGCAGTTGAAATCTGCAAGTACCTTGTTGCTGCC